TGCTGACGAATGTTGCAGGCCCCCTTTGAAACGCAGGATTTTCACAGGAATTGTACAGGAATTTCACAGGAATCAGTTGACTGTTGATAGGAAAAACGCAGGAATAGGAAAAAAATCCCACGTTCCAAAGGGGGCCGCAGTATATAAAAGACTGTAAGAGCAAGGAAGAGTAGTTTTGTCACGGTGGACCTATAAAATGCAGAATTTGAACTGAAGACTCCATGACTAGATTAAGCGCCATGCATGGTTGAAAGATAAGACAAGCTTTGAGATTTGAGATTTGATCAACGGATATGATCTTGAGAAATTTTGCTCATGTCTTATATTTTGCTCAGGTACTGGGCCAACCCCGCGTCCGAAAAATTTGTCGTCGGGGAGATGAGGAACGCCATGCCGTCGGTACTGATGGTGTAGCTGGAGTTGATGGCGAAGACGAAGGTGGCGGAGAAGGACTGTGCCGTGCCATTGGAAGACTCCTTGAACTGAAACGGGGTCCGGAAGAACGCGTGGCCTTTGATGTTCTCCCCGTTGTTCGTCAGCTCAAGGAGTCCTCCAGATGTGACCGTGGCCACGCCGTCGAGGGTAAGGTTGCTGCTGGCACCGGCATCGCCGAAGCCGGAGAAGACGAAGGGCTCGTTGGCGGCGGCACAGAAGCATGGAAGGTAGAGGCTACTAAGGAGGAGGAGGAGAAGGAAGGACACCGGAACATGCTGCTCCATCGTGTCTGGACTGAAAGAATCCAACGAAAGATGCGAGTTCACCAGCTATCAATCTAGCTAGGCCGTATTGTATACTGTCGTTTAGGTCGTGTTCTACCCTCCCTGTCAAGTACTTGATTGTTAATTGTAAACTTACAGCAATTGGTCTGCCAGAGCAACTTGTAATCTACAAGTAGTATCTAGATCGATAGATGACCGACAACTTGCACCAGTGGATGCCGTAGTCGTCGTGTCTCGCTTAACACATGTGGTCGTTGTCTGAATTATCTTCTTTTCTTAATCTAGGGATTTTACTCGTGCTTTTGAAAAACAAAATAAGGTTCGCTACACACTTCAGCTGGGGTTTCCAGCGAACCATTACAGTTCGAAAAAGGAAAAAAAAAAGCGACAAAAGAAGAGCGTGCAGTATCTTTTTTTTTATGAAACTGGAGGTGAAGATCCCCTGCAGGTTAGAAAGAGCGTGCAGTATCTTAAGAAACTACAACATCCCAAAAGATCAGAAGTAGACTCTTCTTGTCTTGTCTCCCTGCTTTGCTTCGAGAAGTTTGAAAACCAGTCCTTCAGCTTCCTCGTTAGTTCTTCTAGCTTCTCTTTATCCGACTTGTGCAACAGGATACTCCAGCTCTGCATAAATTTCAGAATGTTGAAAAGGATTTCAGTTGCTTTTCTCGGAAAGTGTTTTCCTATTGCCATCTTATTTCTTTTTTTTCCATAGCATCCAAGATATTGCAGCAAAAGCAAAAAAACTTCATTCATAGTTTGTCTGAATTATCACAGGATATAAGATGTAATGACTGATTACATGCCAAGAACTGTCTTTTTATTAGTATTGTCTTGTTATTTTTGGCTTTTTGCCTGTGTATCATTTTCCTTGGGCAGTTGAAGCATACAGAAAGAGATGACGTAGGAAAATAAGGACAAGCCTTGTGTATCAAAATACCAATTGGGTACAAAAAATATTCTGGATTTTTAGTTTATATCCAGGATTTGTTGTCACTTAACCTACTATTAAACCAAAGATTATTTGTTTTCTCCAATTTCTTTGCCTAGTGGAAATTTTTGTTCAATTCAACTAATTCCCTTATAGAAAACTGATTGCTTGATGTCCGATGTACCGACGTACTATATTGATTGCTCCTGACGAATGGTTACAGTCAAAGTATAAAAAAACAGTAAGAACAAAGAAAGAGACGCTATGCCACGGTGGACCTATAGGAAGCGGAATTTGAACTGGAGACTCCATGACAGTCTATATGCTCCACGCATGGCTGGTAGATGCGACAAGCTTTGATATTTGAGAATTGATCAAAGGATATGGTCTATAGACTTTTTGCATCTGGTCTTATATATCCTCACAGTCAAAAGTTGCCCGTCCTTGTCCTGTGAATGCATCAATATACCTTGCGAATTGTGTCATGTTCAGACGCGCTCACTGATGAAAAATTTCCACGTGTGCCGCGTGTATGATTTTTCACACACAAGGGGATGAGATGGACGGAACATACGTTCGTGTGTTACCGGAAATGGTATATATAAATTCGATGTTATTTCGCTTGTTCATTTGGGCATCGAGTTTGACTGTGTTTCAGGTATCTAAATTCCCTGATGCACCGTCTCTCGGGGCAGCCCTTCAGCACTTCACAATGGACCGTGTCTAGAACGGCATGTCAGATGTTAAAACAGTGACTGTGAATTGCGCGCCTGAGATGAAAAAGAAATTACAGCAACTCTCTTTCGAATGTTACTATACGAAAGCGAGATCCTGTGTAGACGTGCAGCTTAGGGTTTTTTGATGATCACTAAATGGCAGCTTCTGCAGTCAGTTGTAGTAGACGTGCAGTCAGTCTTTGGAGATGACTATCCGTTGAATCCATAGTCCCGCTCTCTGTTCCACATGGGACCAACCGGGACAAAGACTTATGCTTCGCCTGCTAACCGATCATGCTCCATTCAATTTTATTTTTGAATAAAGAGATTGGACCTTGGGAGTTTTTATTGTGTACCATATGTACTAACTCTATCTCAAGATAAGTATTTTTTTAAGTTAAACCATTTTAGTTTTGATTGTCAATGAAGAAAAAATCATAAAGATGACAATGTAAAGTGTAAATACATGACTTGAAACCACTTATCGCAAATATAGCGTTTCCTATTTAAAATAATATATTTTATCAATATTATTATCAGATACGAAGCAATGTACCAATTATTGCAAATATAGTGTTTCCTATTTAAAATATGATTACCAATAATTGATTCTGACTAAACCTAAAATGATAATCATAATATCAAACTTTCTTTTCATTTTGCACGCTATTAGCCCTATGTAGTTTTTGGGATGTGAGACGGTGTAACTAGCTTACTAAAGGTTTGATGGTTGCCCCGTTGACGCCGTAGTCTAGCGGTCAATTTCACTTGAGACCCCACAAGGATGGAGGTGGTAAATTCGACTAGATGCTACTTTTAAATAAAAAGAAACGCATTCCACCAAATGAGGATATCTCTCAACCCCTGTATTGATAATGTTTGCACATATATGCTGCTCCATCGTATCTGGACTGTATAAGAACTCAACTAAAGATAATAATGCGAGTCACCAGCTAGCTATTCATGATCTAAGCCTCGCGCCGTTTTGTATACTGTTGTTTAGGTCGCGTTCTACCCTCCCGGACAAGTAGCACTAGTGGATGCCGTAGTCCTGGTGTCTCGTTTAACACATGCGGTCGTCCATGACTTAATTATCAGCGAATATACGATGTTGTTACTACATGCCAAGAACTGTCTCTGATTTTTTCTGTCCTGTTGCTTTTGGCTTGTTTGCCTGTGCATCATTTTCTTAGTTAGTTGAAGCTTACAGAAATAAATGACGTAGGACAACAAGGCCAAAACCTTACATATCAGATATCAACCGTGTAGATAAAATATTCTGATATTTTTAGTTTATCTGATCGTGGGTTTGTCGTCTCTTAACCTACCACGGAAACAAAAGAACTTTGTCCAACTAAAGTAATTTCCTTTGGGAAAATGATTGCTTCATGTTGGACTATTTTGATTGCTCCCGACGCGGTTGCAGTACATAAAGGACTGCAAGAGCAAGAAAGAGTAGTTATGTCACGGTGGACCTGTAGAAAGGGAACTGGAACTGAAGACTCCATGACTAGTTTAAGCGCCATGTATGGTTGAAAGATAAGACAAGCTTTGAGATTTGATCAAGCGGATATGATCTTGAGACTTTTTGCTCTGGTCTTATATTTTAAAAGGGACAATTATGTTTTTACTCTCACTCTGAACTTTAATTGTGATTTTACCCTCACTTTTTTGACTTTGTGATTTTACCCCTGTTTTTTTAACCTGAAGCCAGAGTTGACCCCTACTGGGGTAAAATCGCAATAGAATTATTCTGATTTTACCTCTACTGAGGGTAAGATCTGACTTCATGTTGAAAAACCAGGGGTAAAATCACAAAATCAAAAAAGTGAGGGTAAAATCAGAATTAGAGTTCAAAGTGATGGTAAAAACACAAATGCCCCATTTTAAAATTCAGCAGACGCCCGTCCTTGACCTGTGAAGACGTAATATCGGTTGCCAATTGAATCAGTTCAGACACGCTTTCTGAAGAAAATATTCCACGCTTGTTGCATGAACGTACAGGAGAATGAGAGTAGGGGAACATGCATTGTACCATTTTCGTACAGCAGTCGTCACGGTATTAGCTAAATGTATCAGCGGAAATTGTATAAATTTTTCGATGTTGTTTCGCTTGTTCATTTGTGCATCGAGTTTAACGGTGTTTACCTAAATTCCCTGATGCAGCAGATATCTGTCCTGTTCGCTTGAGTCTCGGGGGCTCGGAGCAAGCTTAAGCTCTTCACAATTGACCGTGTCTTGAACGGCATGGCAGATGATCGCTACAGTGACGGTAATTAAGATGAAAACATTTTTACAGGAACTCTTTCGAGCGTGATGTTACGGTCTTCAGAAAGGGGGAGGACCTTCTTCTCAGCTTCTGCAGTCAGTAGCAGATGTTACGGTCTTTTGGAGATGCAATAAAACGGCAAACTTTAGCTTACTTACAGTTTGATGGCTACACACGGCGACTCATACTTAGCAAAGATATTCATAGCCACTATTACAGCAGACTTTAGTCATTGCATTCCGGTGAATCTCCTTTTGTAGCGACCTCCAGAATATGAACAAATACGTCGTGACATAGACTTATATATGTTTCACCTGCTTGCCGATTCTCCATTATTGCTTCATATGACTTTATTATTGCGGACAGGCATGTGGCCTGGTGGTGAAGGCGCTGGGTTGGCAGCCCACCGGTCAGGGGTTCGATCCCTGATCCCGCACCCGCACTGTTGCTCTGCTGCAGTGCAGCCAAAAAAATCCCCTCGCCTTACTGAATCAAAGCGTTAGGTAAAGACTCACGCCCAGCTCACACGGCCAGCTGAGTCCTTGTGTATGATCGGGGAGGGGGTTCAGGAGTTTTCTCGAGCTGTGTGAGAAGGTCTTCTTCTTAGCAAAATGCCGTCAAGGGGGCTTCCCCCGGCGGTTCGAGTTTTTTTTACTTTATTATTGAATAAAGAGATGGGACATTGAGACTATTTATTACATGTACCTTCTGTAATATATCCAGAATATTTCCTTTACTGCAGTAGGAAAAAGTTATAAAGATTTCCCCTCTCATTTTCTCTTTTATACTTGTGTAGTTTTCAAGTGATGAACTGGTGACATTGGAAAATGGAAAACTACTTGAGGTTTGATGATTGCACACGTTGACGCCGCAGTCTATAGCGGTCTGTTTCACTGAGAGACCCCACAGGGACAGTGATTTCAATTTTGTTTTTGATAAAAACGAGTTTATTTAATCAAGCAAATGAGGATATCCCAACACCTACGGTGGAAGATGTATGCAAACAGCAATAATTACTAGATGATATGATGCGGACTCCGCTAGGTGTTTTTTTTTTCATTCAAACCCGAGAGGATTGATATATTACCGGTCAATATCCATGTCCATGCTTGGTTACCGTGCTTCGTTTGTTTCTGGTGACGGCAGATGGGACCTTCGGAAACTTTTTTTTTTAGGGATGGGACCTTGGGAAACCTTTTTATCTTGTAGTAATCTGGGGTTTGAACCTTATGGAACTTCATCTAAGTAGTACTTACAACATTTTTTTGGTGCAGTTCTTATATGAGGGAGGGAAGAGAGTGAAGCAAGCTATAGTAGAAACATTGTGCAGTGCTCATATGTCCCTGTAGCCAAGTAAAAACACTATAGCATTAGGCATAAGCCATGCCCAACGGGCTTTTAATTACATGGCAGTTGCTATAGTTAAGGGGTTTTTTTTTGGAACCACTATAGTTAAGGTTGACGTGAAGCATCAAATAGGGTGCATTTTAATAGGGATAGACATAAAAGAACAAAGAAAACGGGTGCATTGGTCATTGGTATTATTGACAGATTTATGTTAATTTATACCATTTTAAGAAAGTATAGATAGACATATATTCAATATCAGAGTGAGTAACACGTTTACCATCATGTCATGTTATATTCAATGTATTTACTCTTGAATAACCTCTTGGTAAGAATGGCTGACCATCGAGAGAGGAGAGCGCCTCTCCTTACGTCAGGCACCTTTTTATTTTTATTTTTGAACCTACGTCAGGCACCTCTTGATGGTGCAGGGGAGCATGCGATCTTCTTCTTTTTTTTTTTTTTTTTGAGAACAATGTGATCTTTTTAGGTTCTCTATTTTTCGTTCCAGCCAGAATAATAGGCCCATCATACTCCTAATTGGGCCATTGTTTAAATAGTTGATCCAGACCAATTCTCCTGAAGAGGCCCAACCTGACATGGGCTGGTAGGCCTACATTCCACAATTTACACACGCATCTTGGGAATCCGGTTCTACTTCAGCACTCATCGCTGTCTCGCTCGCTTCCCGGCGTCGCCGCACCACCGCGCCCGCCGCTCGCCGCCTCACCGGGCTCAGCACTTGGTCCCGTGTTGGCGTTCTCCGGCTCCAAAATTGTAGCAGCCTACGCCAGGAGGGTCCTAGGAGGAGGTGCTGCGGTCTTCAGCAGCCATTCTCCGCGGCCCACCACTCAACTCGATGCCGGCGGTGATCCGGTCGGACACCAACGCCGCCTGTCCGTTCCGACGGCACATCCCTCCTTCCGGTGAATAGAACTTTATTTACAGCTACTACATTTCACCTTCTTAACTGGTGGAGATCAGGCCTGAGACTTCTAGTTTGCAGTGGAGTTCAGATTTCAGATTTGGATGTAGTGGCCCATTAAATTGTACTGCCTCCGGTTTTTTATTCTTGTCGATAATTTGTTTGTCCTAACGTGAAGAATACAAATATGTAGCGAGTATGAAATGCACATAAACTGCTGAATTGATGGGCGTGCAGCTACGTTATTGGAGTCACAGCAAAGTGCTGATTTAGCACAAAGATGCAAACATTGCTTAATAAATGGCCACATACTCGGATTTACTAACCAACCAACGAACTTAGAAAATAGCAGAATCAGCATATTTTGAAGTATGGCCGACTTTCAGTAATAACTACTTGAAAACTTAGAACTGATGATTGGTCTTTTCTGTTGTAGAAATGGAAATACCGATTTCTGTTCTTAAGAACTGTGTCATGTACCTTTGCCCTGGTCGGAGGGCATGGACCTTATTTATGAGGACCTTCTTGAGTGCCTTTTCAGAGCTCTTCAAGATTTACCTGCACTGGGTAATTTAGTTATGCACTTTGACCAATTAGAAAACCAGGAACCATGCTTGCAGCTTTCAAAGAATTGTTATGGCTTTTTCTCAGTTCATTTCAGTTTAATGGTTGCTATTGGGTTTAGTTCTCTTCTGAAATCTGTATGGCAGGAGTGTCGGGCAATGTGTTTGCATCACATGGGGCGAGGAAAGTGAACCTGCGATGCTACTCTTTCCAGCTAAATCATGCCAATGTATGGACTTTCTTAGCTGCCAATTGATTATCTTACTTTGAGATTCTTAAGGTTTCTATTGGCAGCCGCTGTATTCAGTTTTGCATGGTCTTGTAGTTGGGCAGTTTTTGGTAGTCATTCCTCCATAATATGAAGCTTCATTTGTAGTTTGACATGTGACAGTCGAAGCAGGGGAAAATAAACGTGCTTTGTCAAACACGAAATGATAACCTGCCTTATGATTATGCGAATGGGTTGATCTGTTAATTCATTGCACTGACCAAGATTTTGATCTTTTCAAGTGTCGGTGAAATCCAATACCAGTGCTCTGAAGTGATTTTCTCTGGTCCATTTTGGACAGAATTACATGTAGCTCCTACTAGATGCAAGTGATGAAGACTACATGGCTGGAAGACCAGATATCAGGGAGCTTCTTGAATATGGATGCTTCTGAACTCTATATCCCGTTGAAACGCCTCGGTGACCATGCTTGTCAGTTGATATTTGGATATTGCAGTTAGTACATGGTACCTTTGCTTGCTGCCCAGTTTGTCCCCCTAGTAAAAAGAGCATGGTAAATTAAGATTTTTGGACTCTAGATGTAGTTTGTAATCCTTTAACATTTGACCAAGGGAAGCAATAGGAGGAGACTAATATTAAGATTTGACTTTCAGTTAATGCCAAAGGTGACTGAAATCTTTAAAGGGTTGTACCACGGAAATGCAAATTAGATGGATAGGATGTATGGCCTCTGAGATTTTGCAAGTCAGCGCTTGTGGTTTCAGGTTCATATGAGCTGCCAATTTGCATATGGCATCTTGAAATGGAAAATATTTAGCAGCAGTGCAAAGTAATCGTGTGTGATTTTCTTCCACTTCCATGATGGCAATCTTATTCTTGACCTAGAGAAATAGCTGCTACACAGCAACACAGCAATGGGGCGACTGAGACCTGAACGGCATCTGTGGTTGATCGTAACTTTCACTTTAATATGAAGCATGTCATTATCAAAATTTGATTTCTTCAAGCGACAGCTGGCCTTTTTCATTACTGGCTTGTTATGGACTTATGATACGTTGTGAACTGCATAGAAAAGTCGCCGATTGAAGAAGAGTTTCGTTGACTGTGGCTGCTCTCCAGTGGACTATTCATTCAAACAAGTCAAGTGTCAAGGGACCGTGATAGCTTAAAGGAGGAGACATTACTGAAATCCATAAAACATTGAGCAGCGATACAGGTATGTTTTTTAGCCAAGTTTCTACCCTGAAACTTAATTGCATATTCTAATCCTTGTTGAAGCATCGTGTGTGATATTCTTCCCACTTCTCTGATGGCAATCTCTCATTCTCTAATTTGATAAATAGATACTTTTTTTTAGATGTTGAGAAATAGACACTACTACACAGCAACATGGCAATGGGCGACCGAAGACCTGAATGAAAACGTCTGTGGTTGGTCATACCTTTCACTTTAACATCAAGCATGTCATTATCAGAATTTGATTCTTCAATCGACAGTGACCTTGCATTATTGCCTTGTTATGGGCATATGGTATACGTCGTGAACTGTATAAAACAATTGCAGGTTGCTGCAGAGTTTTGTTGACCGTGTCTGCTCTCCCGTGGACTATTCTTTCAAACCACTTCATACAAGTTCAAGGTGACAATTGGACAATGAATTGTGGTGTGAGGGGACGTGATTGCACAGCTACAATGACAGTACTGGAGTACGTAGTATATTCGAGAAGTACAGTATCCACCCTGATGGCTAAAAGGAGGAAAATTATTGACATCCATAAAATAGAGTGGTGATACAGGTATGTTTGTAGCCAAGTTCAACCCTGACCCTTATAATTGCACATTCTAATCCTAAAAAATCACGATTAGATCTAGATCTTGCTGACGGCTTCACCTTCCTCCTGAGAGGCTAGTTATACTGGTCTGCACCGATGGACACTGCACATCTTCGTCACTGAAGCCACCTTCAACTTGTAGCTCGTTGATGCTTCGGATGTTCAGATAAACATCTGGCATCTCTGGAAACGGCACGTCTCCACATAGATACTGCATGATAAGCCTCATGCTCGGCCTGCCAACCGGAGATGGGTGCGAACAGAGTAGCCCAAGCTTCAGCACCAGCTCTGCCTCCTCCTCCACGTATTCTCCACTCAATCTAGGATCTATAATACCAACGACCAAATCATGCTGCCAGAACCTGAGCACAAAATCCACCAAGACTAGAGGTTCACCAATAGAATTCGCTGCAATGGGTCGCCTGCCGCAAGCAACTTCTAGAATGAATGCGCCGAATGCAAACACATCAGTTGCTTTAGTGGCCTTTCCAAGCCTTGCTAGTTCAGGGGAGATATAGCCTCTAGTTCCTGCAATGCG